CTATCTAAATGTACTCTCCCAAATCTATGCGACAGAAAGGCTACAAACCAAAGACTATTACTAAACAAATCAACTCTGCTGTAAAAACGCCACGTACGCGCCTGCTACAGTACAGAGAGAAGAAAATATCTACATGAGTGCCACTTGTGGTCAACTAAAACCCAGCGCTTTAGAAAATACAGGAAATTATCAAAGACCTACAACCAATGTTAACAGAAGATGAGACTCTGAAAAACATTTTCTCTGAAACACCCATTTTGGCCTTCAGACAACCACCAAACCTCCAACAAACATTAATCAACAGGAAGCTGTCCACTGATGGTAAGAATGAAGAAAACGGGACCAGTCAATGCTAAATACCTTGCTGCAAGCTGTGTCAGCACATACAATATAGCCACAAACAACAATAAAACCTACAGCATTAAAGGTTCATACTCCTGCACATCCAGCAATGTGGTATACATGATTCAATGCACCAAATGCCACCTAGGATGCTACATTGGGGAAACCACCCAGCCATTTCCTGTCCCACTACCAACACTTTACATGAACACTCTCCCAGCATTATCTCACTGTTCTGTCATATGTACCAACACTTTAAAACGCATTCCAATATGTTTATTCTATCAATACACAAAGTACTAGTGTGTGTAGACATATGTTTTCCCATACTCTTGCATGGATGCTTATATATGTGACTGTACATTTATGTTTGTGTAAATGAGCTCATGTGCATGTATGTATATGTGTCTGTATGTGTATGTGTTTATGTATGTGTATACATATACATGTGTGTATACACTGGCGTACATACCAGGGTCGCAGGGGTCGCGACTGCGACCGGGCCCGGCCCACCAGGGGGCCCGGCCGCCCCTGCGACCCGGTATGTACGCCCAGGGCCAGCCTCTTCCCCTGGGGGGCCCAGGAGCCGACCACCCCAGGGCCCCCCTGAGGCTGGCCTTGCTGACCCCGGGTGGCGGGTCGGGCAGGCAGGCGGGCGCGCGAGGGAGCACTCAGTGCTTCCTCTTCAGCTCCCTCGCGCACCGCAATGATACCGGAGCCGGAAGATGACGTCATCTTCCGGCGCCGGCATCCCTACGCGGTGCGCGAGGGAGCTGAAGAGGAAGCACTGAGTGCTCCCTCGCGCGCCAGCCTGCCTGCCCGACCGGCCACCCGCCCAGGAGCCCCACTGGACCCCAGGGAATCCCCCCAGCACTCCAAAAGGTAAGGAGGCTGGGGGGATTATATATATATAAAAAAAAATAATAATCATGTGTGAGTGTTAGTGTGTGTGTGAGTGTTAGTGTGTGTGTGAGTGTTAGTGTGTGTGTGAGTGTTAGTGTGAGTGTCTTACTGAGTGTGTGTGTGTTAGTGAGTCTGTTTGATGTCTGTTAGTGAGTGTGTGTTTGTCAATGAGAGTGTATGTTTTGTAAGTGAGTGTGTATGTATGTCTGTCGCTGACTGTATCTCTGTCAGTAAATGTGTGTGTCTGTTAGCTAGTGTGTATGCGACTGTAAGTGTGTTTGTGTGTGTGTCTTCAGCACTTACTTTTCTCCAGCGCCGGACTCCCTTGGCGCTGAGGATCCCTCAGCCTCTCAGCTCCGAATGCGACCGCGCACGCATTCAAACCGCCCATAGGAAAGCATTACTCAATGCTTTCCTATGGACGTTCAGTGTGCTCCTCTAGCGGCTGTCCGTGAGACAGCCACTAGAGGCTGGATTAACCCTCAGTGAAACATAGCAGTTTCTCTGAAACTGCTATGTTTTCAGCTGCAGGGTTAAAACTAGAGGGACCTGACACCCAGACAACTTCATTGAGCTGATGTGATCTGGGTGTCTGTAGTGGTCCTTTAAGGACCACTATAGTGCCAGGAAAACATACTCGTTTTCCTGGCACTATAATGCCCTGAGGGTGCCCCCACCCTCAGGGACCCCCTCCCGCCCGGCTATGGAAAGGGGTAAAACTTACCTTTTTCCACCGCTGGGCGGAGAGCTCTCCTCCTCCGATCCTCCTCTTCTCCTCCCCGTCGGCTGTATGCGCACGCGCGGCAAGAGCTGTGCACGCATTCAGCCGGTCACATAGGAAAGCATTCATAATGCTTTCCTATAGACGCTGGCGTGCTCTCACTGTGAAAATCACAGTGAGAAGCACGCAAGCGCCTCTAGCGGCTGTCAATGGGACAGCCACTAGAGGAAATAGGGGAAGGCTTAACCCATTCATAAACACAGCAGTTTCTCTGAAACTGCTGTGTTTATGAAAAAATGGGTTAACCCTAGCACGACCTGGCACCCAGACCACTTCATTAAGCTGAAGTGGTCTGGGTGCCTAGAGTGGTCCTTTAAGTGTGTGTGCATCTGCATGCACTGGCGTACATACCGCGGTCGCAGGGGTCGCAGCCCTGTAACCCCTGCGACCAGGTGCCCACCGCCATGTGTTGCGGCCCGGCCCGCGCGGGGGGGGGGGCCCCACGGATCAATTTTCGCACCGGGGCCCCATGGGTCATGTGTACGCCACTGTGTGTATACCTGTGTGTGTCTGTATAAAGTGTGTACATATATGCATACATGTGGGTATATGTAAATAGGTGTATGTGTATATATACATATATATGGGTCTATATATGTGTATGCACATTTGTATATGTGTAGGTACATGTATTGGTGCTTATGTGTGGCTGTATGTATAGGTGTGCATGCACTACTTCTGTATATGTATGAGTGTGTGTGTGTCTGTGTATGCTGTATATAGGCCTTCATGCATATCCTGTAAATCGCGGATGAGAATTTATGCATTCTTAATATAAGTAATTATTTTGTTTTTATTCTCCCCTTCCAGCACCATCTTCTGCACCGTTTGCTTGTTTTTTCTCTCTCTCTCTCCCCCTTCACTCTGTGATATTCACACAAGATATTTACGACCCCCTGCAAGAATGGTGTCTATTTTCAATGAAACCTGTGTCTTATCTGCACTCATGTCGCTTTAACCCCTGTATCACAACTCAACTTTGAATTCTATGTGTCGTCTTGCTCAGAAATGCTTTAGACTTGAGAAAGGGAGGTTCCCCCGAAAGCTTGTCATTAAAACATTCTGTTAGTCCAATAAAAAAGGTATTACAAGATACGAATTTTATCTCGTTTTTACACACACACAAATATTACATTCATGCACAAAAAACATGCACACATATACATACTACATTCATGCACAAAAAATATGCTCACTATGCACCCCATAGTGTTAGGAAAATCCTGTATATATATATATATATATAGATACATGTGTGTGATTTTCCTAACACTATGGGGTGCATAGTGAGACACAAAAGAAAGGTCCACTGTTCGAGGGGGGTACACCTCTGATTTTACATACCTTTTGACTAATCGATGAACATCATGACAAGTCCGATAAAAGAAAACTAGAGAAATAAAAAAGAAAGAATTAGGGAATTGTTGCTGTAATACTTTTTTCTCTCACCTTCTAAAAAAATCTACATAGGAAAAAAAAAATCTGGTGTTTTGCTCTCTTTGTTTTTAAAGGTACAGTGAGTTTCTACAGCCATTGTCAACTCATTTGGCATCTCGAAACCATGTATCAAAAAACTTGTCTTTGAGAAGTCAGCACTTAAAAAGATTGATGAAATATTCATTCCTGAGGGCCGACGGAGGAACATTCAAGAATTGTATATGTTTTTTTGTTGTTTTTTTTGTCCAGCCTGCAGCTGCCAAAGCCTGTATTCTTAAGATCAAGTAACAAACCACTTGCTTTTAAATAACATGTTTGATACAGATGAACCCCTGTTTATTTAGCGAGGTGTGTACGAACTCCAGGCTGCGTATGATACTATGAAAAGTTTACACAGACATTTAGAAAATTCAATCAGTACTACTTGTGTATCACGTGGACATGAAATCTCTAAGGTCCTGTCTCCTCCTGGGAGTTTATTTATTTTTTTTTTTTGTAATTTGGTATGTCTGCTCCTCAGCCTAAATATAACAGCGGTCGCTTGGGCACATTCTCTTATCTCCCGTTACAGATTTGCATATGATATTAGTATCCACTAAGACAGAAAGGCCAACTGCCACCAATTTCCTTTATTATAAAACAGGGGCAGGTGTATAATCAAGGAACATGTTTAGAAATATAATTTTAAACATATATCATATTACGTATAAGAACATGCATGATAAAAGTTAAAACATGAAACAGTGATATTTAGAAAAAAAATAATTCATTTTCTTTGGCTTTTCTGTTTTTCTCAATTATTGCAGAAGTGGAGGAAAGTACATAATGACTGATTCGGAAACTTTGCAGGAAAATGAAAATCGGACTTTTTACCCATCGCTATATCTATACATCTTTCTTCATTTTCAAACACATCAACCCCAGGTGTTTAACCTATTATTGTCAAGAATCTAGTTAAATACCTATTTCTCATGACCGGATAAGTAATCTCTCACAAAGAGGTTCGTTTCTATTTACTATAATTGAGTACACATCATTTATTTAATTTCCTTTCTTCGCCTTATATGCTTTTATTAATTGTAATTATTTTTACAGGGAAATCTCTTAATATCCTGTATGTCAATCACTTGTTTTAAAATATCCCAATTCGATTATTATCATTATTAGCATTGATATAGAGCCAAGATATTCCTCAGCGCTCTAAAAATGATGGGAAGGGGATATTTAACAACAAGTAAATGACATACAAAGATTAACAGAGAGGAGATGAAGAAGGTCTTGCTTAAACAAGCCTACAATCTACGAATAATTGGTAAACCTAACGAAAAATAAATAACACAGGGTGCGGGGCCGGACCGCCATGCTTGCAGGTTGCACAACTCAAAGGCTCCTGCAAATTTTGTCAGTTTTGTCCAAAAAACACATATTAAATACCTACTAAAAGTTACTGAAATCAGCGGTCTTGCATGATCAGACATCCTGGTTCCAAGGAGAGGCTTGCTGCACAGCTCTAGTCCCTCGGCGGGCCGCTCTCTGTCTTTGGCGATGGGGAGCACTCGGGCGGTGAGTGGAGTGGACGGCCGCCACCCTGCTATCCTGCCCACCAGAGGTCTGAACGAAGCATGAGGCTGAGGGGGTCCGGCCTTGTCCCCCCCTCTGGGCCGGCGGGGGTGATCCCAGTCCCCACCCTGAGCCCACTGGTGTATGGATACACCAGCGTTCCAGGTGGCAACAATACAGACCTAACACTCGGAGGCCGCACTAAAATTGCGGAGACCACATGGCAAGTAGCCCGAGCTACAGGTAATAAGGGAGTACCGGTCTCACACCAACATACAGCCAACATGGGCCACGAGGATACCGGCACATACCTGCTGAGACCCACTCAGTGTCCAACCACACGGTTCATGAGCAGCCGGAACCACGCTGACTCAGGGCTGGCGGCATCGCATAAGACTGGCGGGGGCCGGCGCCAATGACCTATCAGTCCAGACCACCTAAGCGAGCTCGCAGAAGGAGATCCCCCAGCGATGAAGCCCTGTAAGCTGAGCCTCTCAGAGCAACACATGGAAGCCGACACGCTCGGACCTGCAGGGTCCTGCCTCCCACCAGAGGCAAGCACAGGACTACAAATCGCAAGTACACATCGTGGGGACTGTCACCAAGCCACTTGCCTGGACTGAGCCTAACATGGCCATACCTTGGCTCTCGTCCCTCTGCTGCCCACATACTTCACAGGCAGAGCCCACAGCGAGAAACCTCTGACTTTTGTCTAGTGGCTGGGGGGTTAACCTGGGGTGGAAAAACCCAAGCATGACTGCAGCTCTTATATATTGTAACTCTAACCTAGTAAGATTGGTCATCTAAGCATAGTTTGGCAACTAGTAAACTCAGTAGAATATAAAGTTGGAAAGTACAACAGGATATAGGGACTTACCTGCCATTAGCATGGAATTTAAGCTAGCGTATAGCACCACATGTCCTAATTCTGCAGCACTTGGTTTAATTGCATGTGCCTATACACGTTGTAACCTCATCCTTAAACCTAAACTTAGCTTGCATTCACACACTAGTTCTGGACACAGCATAATAATTTCACGACTAGATAGTAAAGCACTGTTACATTGTGTTATGAGAATACCTAAGCAACGTAAGCGACGAAAACTTATATTTATCATCTAACCAATCTTTACATAAAAAATGTGTTAGATCTATCATGTACCTCTGTTCAACTGCTTACATTACGCTGGAGGATTGCCTTTGGGGTACCTCACATGCGCCTGTTTAAAGCTTACGCACTACAAAAATAAAGAATTTAAAAAAATAAAAATAACACAGGATTGATGCCTGTGTCGAAATAAGCTAAAATTGTATAATTGTAATGCACTCTGCAATGTGTTGGAGTTATATAAATCATATTAATAAAAATAGTGTGTTATTGGATGGGCTATGGGTGATCAGGGATAGAATAACCGGTGCTGCCACTTGGATATATTTGGGTATTCGCTGTCACCACTCCATTGTCGAATAGTATATTACGTTTTTATGTAAAATAGTTGTTTTGAAATAACTCTATTTTGTCGGAATGCCAAAGGGAATTGAAAAACTGTTGTTTTAAAAGTAGCTTTTGTGTTTTCAGGAAGTTAGACACAGATTTTAAACTATATCCATTGAAATATTTCTTTGTCAAATAAAATAAAAAAATAAGAAAAAGAAAGAAACAGGAAAAGAAAACAATGGGTTGAATAAATCAATGCATTTTTAAAATTATTTCAAACAATAAACATAACTGGTAGAAAAACGATTATACGCAGGGTTTAAAAAAAAAGCAGAATTTCATTCTGGGTTACAGGCTGTGTCACGATTTATACAGTGCATTTTATAGAGCCATCAAAGCAAAGCTTAATTAGTACCTAGAACAGTTACATTCCTAATGGGAAAGGCACCACATGCTAAGTAAGGCTTTCTGGTTTTAGGTGCAAAACCCCCCAAAAAAGAGATTGTGTTGGGGCACCATTTATAAGGAAGCAAGATAGACAAGTGTCTCATTCAAACTAAGGCCTCGATCTAATACTGTTGGATACACTTTTCAAATGATTCAATATTTTTGGATAAACTTTTAAAATGATTTAATATTATGAAAAACATTTTAATTTTGTTATATTTTGATATTATTTTGATGTATTGATATATTTTTATATATGATATATTTTTGATAGGATTGACCTACACACAAATAAGCTTGACCTACACACTGGTAGAGATTATAATTAGGATTGGTCTGAATAAAAGAAATAAAATAAAATATGAATATTCAAGGCAGAATTTACAGGCAGTATTCACCACTGGGTTTTTCGAGTTAGGCTACAGCATAAGGTGTGCATGCAAAGATTAACATGGTAACTGGGAGTTAGACATGACCATAGAAATCAAACACACCTCTAGCCTAGACGTTAGGGTAGATGGCAGCCAGATCAGCCTATGCCTCTGGGAGGGGAGACACTGCCTCTATAGCACTGGAGTCCATCGAACGGTGAGGGGACACCCCACCAGCTCCAAATACCGATGTGGCCTCCAGGACACCAGTCCAGGCCGACCTCCGATGGACTCATCACACGCTGTAAGTGCAGCAGGACAGCATCCCTCCAATGGCACGATGTGTGGCAGGACAGCATCCCTCCAATGGCACGATGTGTGGCTCACACGAGAGCACCAATGCGTGACATGATGGCAGGATTTAATCGAGGGCTGACCACAAGGTAGCATCTCCGTTTTCGCTGTCTTACCTTCCATTCCTCACAGGAGAGGTTTTTGGAAGAGCCCGCGGGTCAGGGCCTTGATGCACGGCTTGTCAGGTAGCGTGATGGCAGCTCGTGTAGCGAGACTTTCCCAGAGTTTGGCGCATATATTATCAAATGCCAACAGAAACAGGTCAGTCTTGGGAGGTACCTGCAGGTTTGTACTCCATGCGTTGTTAGCCATCTTGGGTAGCAGGCCTCTGGGTTCTGACATGCGCTCATCTGGAAAGCCTCTGAAAGTGGGTCGAGGAGCACACCAGTGGGGACCGGGATGACCCCTGCTGGTCCAAAGGAGGGGGGGGGAGGGGGAAACGGCTCAAGTGAGGCTGGAATCAGACTTTGGCAGAGGATCGGTCTCCTCTTTTGTTCTTGATTTTCACGTAGGCCTCAAGACAGTCCAGCTCGGTCTGCAGCCACCTGGACCGCATAGGTTCATACCAGGCACTCGCCAGAGTACTCCTCTGGCAGGTAGAATATTCTCAGGCGTAATATAGATTATTTTTGTCATGTAATCAGCAGGTTATCAGGCTGATTCTTAGGAACTCCAGCCATGTGTGACCTGCTCGGTTTGCTGCCAGACCCCCCCCCCCCAATTTTTCTACTTTTACATTTTGTCTGATGAGATAAACAAAAGACAAGCTTCTCATATTAGTTTTGTATCTGCCAAGCAAGGATTTTTAGATGGTGAAGTGGAAAATTGGAAATCTTATCCATTAGTGTTTTCACGTGAAAGATAGCCAAATTCTGCTAAAGTAGACTTGTTTGTAGATCCAGATGGCATTTCTGTGTAAGCACGATGAAAAAGCCATCAATGTGGATGTAATGCCTGATAACTTTGGTCAAAAACAAACACATGCCAGGTCGAGCAGGTGCAAAAGCAATGGTTGTGCGATAGCTCCCAAACTCTTCAATGCAGTGCACTGAACTTATAGATGGGTACGTCCTGATTTGTCATTTTATCGGGAACACACAAACAGAGAACACACTAATGACCAAGGGTGCCCAAAAGGCAGATCCACAGATGTTGTAGAACTACAACTCCCATGATACTTTGCATGCCTTTGAAGTGCCTTTAAAATGGCAAAGCATCATAGAAGGTATCATTTTAAAACATCGTGGAATCTTCCTTTTCGGCAACCCTGCTGTATTGAATATGGTACTCCGAGTACCTTGGTGCAACCCCAATGTAAGTGCTGAAACTATTTGCCAGCAGTGTGACTTTGCCTTGTTCCCAATGCCATTGAAGGGTTAGATGTTGGTGTGGTGTCTTATAACTTCTGGATGACCACGATAATTGATAGATTGAGCTAGTAAGAGTAGAGCCCTTTGCATGCACATATTTTCCCATCCCTGGTCTGGCAATGCACCCTGCAATGGAGTTTTATTCAAAACATAAGCTGCCTAATTCTGACGCAGCTCCAACCTATGGGAAGCTCCATTTATATTTTTCTTCTAAATAGTTTGATTGTGCAGGACGCCCCTATAACACTTTCTAGGAGCCCCTGAGAGGAGGTGAGAATGTTATGGCCATTTAACATATGTGAATGAGCTAGTGGACAAGCTTGAGCAGTTAGATAAGCAACTGTTTGTGTGTACAAAAGACCTCTTTTGTACAATAACCTGCGCAAGGAGCGTAGATTGCTATCATGCTTGGAGTCTCTCTATTTTTGTAAAACACTAAATCAATTTACTTATGACACAGGACATTTAGAAAAACATAGGACTAATAGAAGCAATTTAAAGGTTACTTGTGGGCAAATAATAAAGAAAACTCCACGATTCCCAAAAAGACCTAGTAAAAAGTAAGGCAATGGCAACAACTTAATTTTACCATTCTAGAAATGTTATTTTGCAATTTATTATATGGTACAGCAATTCTAATGAGTGTACAAAGCTGCAAAGAGTAACTGCTATGTGGTTTCCTGAAGGGACAATAGATGTAATATATTATACATTGCCATTTTGCTCATGATGAATGAATGTGTATTTTTTTTGTTTAACTTGTCTACACGATACATTTTATATTCTTCAACAAAATGTAAAGTAAAGCTAGGACATTGCACGACTATTGTTATTTGTGTTTGGGTATTTTCTTGGCTTTAATCACTAGCGGGGCTATCTATCCGTGTAAATCCAGACATTAATATTATTATTATTATTATTATACAGTAAATTGCACTCACTTATAGCTTCACTCCATGCGGCTACTGGACATGGGTGGGTCTCTTTTCAGTTCTGATGATCCATCAAGAACCTTAAATGTCCAGAGAACTCCTGAGGTCATTGGAACCAGGTAGAATGCTCATATCCAGCTAGTTATCTACGCCGTTCTATGGAAAACTGTGGAGCTGTTTTCAGGCGCATTCAGATTACACCCTGAAATAGCTCCTCAGCTGCATTGATTGGGCATTACATAAAGATATTTATGTTCTGTTATGTGCCATTAATACTGATGGGAGGTTTCTGAGACAAAGATGAAGCTATTTTGTGTCCAGTCTGCAAAGAGAACATTCATTAAAGAAATGATACCATCCCCATAACAACTTCATCTCAATGAAATCATGGGGAAGGAACGGCTTAACTGTTTTTCAATGGTTTAATGACATACTGGCCGTGACTACATGTGCTTCCGTAAAATAGAGTAATACTCAACTATTTCAGTCAGATGGTCTCAGAGACACCGGCTGATAGACGCAGTGCATTTCCATGTTGATCTTAGACAAAGAGACAGAGCTACATGCCAAAGACCAGTGCTGAAAGGTTGATGAGGAAAGTACTAAGTAAAATCATTGTTGTTAACTTTGGCAGCAGGTACCTGGTCACTTAAACAGTGACTAGGGCATGATAGTGTTAGTATTACACATTTCTTTTTGTAAATTCTTTATTTTGTCATACAGGTGAGTACAATAAACATAAGCAAACGCTACAACAGCGTACGTGTGCGTGTGAACAAATCGAGCATTAGTTCTGATAATACAAGTGTTGATCATGCGCGATCCTGAATACTCAATAGTCGTCAAGCGCCATATCGTTTAACAGGAAAATGAATACAATAGTAACATCGGTGCATAAGAACGCATTTACAGAACAGATAAAAACTCTAGATTGAATAGCTTAGTAAAAACGTGGCAACGCTTCCTCTCTAAATTATAGTATGCTGCTGTGTCTCCGAACTAGCAAGGTTGGCAGGAAAAATAAGGCAGTAACATCGTAGTAACAACAGAATTAAGACGGATATGATGCATGAAGTCCGAATACAGGAGCAGTATTATTGATTGACATTTGGGACATAAACTGTAAAGCTCAATTCAAGGTAGTATTACACATTTCTATTCTTTATTCTATAGTGTTCCTTTAATGGCCAACATTACCTCTCCGTGTGATCCAACTTAATTTATAAACCCGATATTATCTAGTTAAATTGATACTTTGAGTCCATACTAGAGATTTGTAAATGAAGACTTCTGTTATTTCGAAATGCTATATTCTTTCAACAACAGAAACATCATCAGAATGTGTTCTTTTGACTTTCAAAAGTGAGTAAGTGAAAGTTCAGGTCAGTGTTTTTAAATGTGATGTCTCTACTGCGAACCTGCAGAAAAGTCCTATAATTCTTTTGCCTAGTTTGAACTTGCAATATGTCCTTATATGGACAGCGCTATGAGGTCTTATTGATCATTATGTCAATGTTTTGTCCCAGTGATAGCCATAAGTGTCAAATACACAGACTTTGTGCAGTCTGTGTGTTGGATGTATACCACATGGCCAGAGACAGGTCAACTGACAAGCAAAACCCGAGAAAGAAACAGCGAGCACTTGACATGACTATAGGCTGCAGTTTGTGATATCCTTCAGCAAATCCTTGTTTAAACAATCTTGCAATTACATTTGACACAACTGAATAAGCTTTGTATAAATGCCAGGTTAGAAGAGGTCAGATCTGGCGGACTGCTTGGCCTGCTGTCAGACCTAAACACTTTATAAAATCATGTAACTTAAATACAAGGTTTAGGAGACTTAAAAGGAAACAGACATTAAGAAAAAGACTGATTTGTTCAATATTTACTTCATACTCCTTGGGGGGTTTCTGTTCTGAGTCAGGTATTACATTTTGCACAAAAAAAAAAGTCTTCCTATTGTATTGAAGTTACTTGAGATAAAATTTTACATGATTTAATAACACAATAGCCCAATAAACAGACAAAACGAAATGGAACATTGTAGAATATTAGTGCAAACATACAGATGCAGAGATCTCACTGATGAATCTTTATTCAATACCGAAATTTAAATTTAAGGTATTTCATTCCCCACAAATAAATACCCTGTTGTTACGGGAATATGACAAACATGGGGGTGAGAATTGCTAGAACTGCAATGTGTATTCCAAATGTATGGCCAAAGACGTTGAACTGAAAGTATACCTTGGAGAATTTAGCCTTAAATTTGAATTTCACTTCAAACTCCCGACAATTCTCACCCTGAGACATTTAGTGCAGAGTGTGAAACTGTTGCTGGGTCATTGGGGATCACTATTACACTTATAGTCCCAACATACAACATTCTGCAAATGTTTAGCTTTCAAACATTAATTCACTCTATATAATATTTACCCTATTCCTTCCCAAAATGGACTGAAAGCTTGGGCATGGGAGGAATTACCGTGATCCGGAATAATTTAATCTATTTTGAAATATTTTTCTTTGGCTGCCCAAGTTGTATAGAAATGATTATAAGCAAAACTGTCAAAATAATTGTCCTAATTTCCCCCCAATTTTAAAAAATCGTATGTACACTTATATTGTGTTATATTAAAAGGGACATCAGAAGACACCTCAGCCAATTACAGATGTAATATCAGAAAAACATCACTGGTTATGCTGGCAACAATTTATAGGGGACGAGGGAGAGAGTGCCTACAATATATATATACAGCCACACACATTTTTTTTTTTACAGTGTTTGTGTTCTAATTTCCTAGCCAAGCACCAAGTCTTTCTCATTAGCATACAGTTGGTAGATGGTATTCAAGGCTGCCAAATATCAGTTTATGATATTGAATACCTTTGTACCGTGCCACATCACCAGATGCTGTTGCAAGTGATCTCAATAGCCCTTTATTGAACGGGATGTTACACTTTTGTGGATCTGAATAATGAGGCTGGTTCATAAACAGGTTATAGTGAAATAAATAGTTTGGGAATAACTAGCCCAGATGTCTCTCGTAAATTGCACAGACATTGAAAGCTGTAACATTCCATATCTTATTACATGAAACCTTTCTATATATGAGGTGTTTCTGCTTTAAAAAAATAAATAAAAAATTAAATCATTACTTTGAAATCATAAAATAAAATAGAATAAGTGAGAGCACACCCACGTATACACACACACCCCCCTGCATGCATGTGCACGTAAACACACATGCACACATATCTAATTTCTATGTCTCCGATAACATCAAAGAGAATCTATCTGGATTGCAGAAGAAGGTTGTGTCCTACGGAGCACACCAGCCAGGAAAGACCAGAGACAAAGTGTGGCTGTCTGGGGTTGTGTTGATGTTTATTTGCAGATACATGGTAAAACATTTATATCCTGCTAATTGTATTTTACGTTTCCCGAACTGTGCCTCGTGGATGTAGACTGCATTACGGACAGATACTATTTTTAGACTGTATTACAGACAGATACTTGTGTATAAGACAGAGAAGCGTGTGCTTAGATGGAGCAGGTAAAAGATGGCAGGAATACCGGCGAATGGAGATCCCTTACTCCATCGTTTTGGACCATAGAGATTGCAAGAAGAACGTATTAACCTACTCACTTGCCCACCGAAGGCAAGCAAAGGATGGAGCAACAGGTAGCCCATAAAGAAGTGATATGATTCTGCCACCTCTGCTTCTATTGACGTAGAAATGGATGAGATATGCATATTCGCTCTGTTTATTAGGTAGGGGACTTGCGTAAGATAAATGTTTCTGGTATTTTACATCAATTTGAGCTAGTGTCGTCTCAAATTACTAAAAAACAGAATCCACAGAATCCATACAACAGCAGAAATTCCCCATTCACCACTTGTGTTGAAATTACCTCCTTATAACCACCAAATAACTAATATTTTGAAATTAATATTAAAAACAATCCGCTGAAACATTTTCTGGAGCACTTTTCCTGATACAGTGACTCAAGGTAAGTTGCCCTGGCATCTAGTACCTTAATGTATTGTAAAATGCAAACAATGAAATCAAATGGAAGAAATTGCTGCTTTTGGGAACTTAAAGGATCACTCTAGGGTCAGGAACACAAATATTTATTCCTGACCCTGTAGTGTTAAAATCACCATTTAGGTGGCTTGTCCCCCCTTACGCCCCCTATACAAGTTTAAAACTCACCTAATTTTCAGCACCGTGCTGGTCTGCCGGCGCTGGCTCTGCCCCCTTTGTGACATCATCAAAATAGCCAATTTTTTGCCAATCCAATTCCCATTCGGAAAGCATTGGACTGGCTAAAATCGGCACATGGGCCGGGCCAATGGCCAATCAGGACCTCCTCATAGAGATGCATTGAATGAATGCATCTCTACGAGGAAAATTCAGCGTCCCCATGCAGAGCGTGGGGACGCTGAATGGCAGGGCTGCTTACTGTGCAGCCCTGAGCCAGGAAGCCCCTCCAGTGGCCATCTAAGGAGTGCACTGAAAAGGCAGTGTTTACATGAAAATGCCTGAAGGGAGCTGTAATACTTACCAGAACAACTACATTAAGCTGTATAATATCCATTAAGCTGTAGTTGTTTTGGTGACTATGGCATTGCTTTAAAAAAAGAGATCTGCTGTCCCTGGAGTACTTTTTTTGTTTTAGTTCCTGGCTAGATCATTTTCTTGCCTCTCTCTGTAGAGCAGTCTCTCATATGAAATATTGAGTCTATCTAAAGATAACGGCAGCCTGGGCCTCCCCGACCACTACAAATGTCATGTTGTGACTTTACTTACTTTGAGTTTATTAAAAGGTCCTCAACTTCACACTACAAGCATTGGCTGATTCATTGACAATCCTTTGTTAGTGTATTACTTCTTAACCTTCCTTGACAAGATGCATCTATTTCACTCCTCTACAACCATTCTCACCCATTAATCCTACCAACTCTTCGGATATGGAGACAATGTAGAACATGTAGTTTGCCACATTCACTGTCTACATTGTATCGGATTACACACAAACCTCCAGTCACTTCCTCGTTGAGATTCTGTAAAGCTATCTGTAAGACATGCTATATGCTCCTGTATTTCTGTCTGCAGAGGATTTGCTCCCCCTTACAATCATTATCCTCCGCCTCTTCTCCGTTTCCAAAATCACCAATTTAAAGTTTTATTTCCTGTTTATCTCCTTCACTCCGTCTTCAGGCCTACTGGACATACCCGGTAAGCAAACTAAGAGACCTCCAAACATCCTATCAAATCCTTCTCTGCCATCTTTCTATCTCAATACACCAGGGCATTGTCATGAAATCCTGGATCCCAGCTTGCTGATGACAGGTGGAAAACAATCTTTAAGATCATACGCCATTCTTTTAAGAGCTTATCTATAATAGAACTTCAATACAAGTATGTGGCTAGGTGGTACCATACTTCAAACCGCCTCCATAAATACAACCCAGATGTTTTTAATGCAAATGTCGAGTTTAAAAAAAGGTGTGAATTAGGCATCAGATCCATAGCCAGTACTAAAGTTCTTATCTTAACATATCGCATTTGGGTTATACTCGTGATTGTCATTTTTCGAGCCTGATGGCATTCACCTTTGCCTTCTACCATTTGACTCATTTCCCCCTCCCCGAAATAATTGGCTCTCTCTGGTTTTGTTCTTCATAGATATTTGTCTTATGCTTCTTGTACAAATATCAGTCATATTTGCTGTGTTTGATTGTATTATCTTACTGATATTTTGCTTAGATACTTTGTACACAATTTTGTGCATTTCTGCTTACCTTTTATGTAATTATAAATTCCAATTAATGTGAAATATTGAGTTGTGTTTTTGCAGAACTCTCTTCAACATAACTTTCATCTAAAATTTCTGTGTCACATTCTATGTTTCTATTATAGTCTTAAATTAGAGGGGCAAATGTTTAAAAATAATATCAGGAAGTATTACTTTACTGAGAGGGTAGTGGATGCATGGAATAGCCTTCCAGCTGAAGTGGTAGAGGTTAACACAGTAAAGGAGTTTAAGCATGTGGGGGATATGCATAAGGCTATCCAAGACTTAGATAAAGCCAGGGACTAATGAAAGTATTTAGAAAATTGGACAGACTAGATGGGCCGAATGGTTCTTATCTGCCGTCACATTCTATGTTTCTAGGTTTCTAAATGTAGAGGTTGCTCTCCACTTAAACTCTCTCTTGGGTACATGGTTTACTCTTGCACTTTGTTCACCCATTTCCTTTTCTTCCAAGTCATTCATATAACAGAATATTAGTGGATTCCTTACATGAAATGTAAGAAATCTCCAGAAATGTACATGACAATTCTTCAACCGCGGGATTTCATGGCAACAATGGAGTGTCTTTGTATAGGTTTGTGTTGGGGAGGTAAGCATGGAGATCCCCATACGGTCTCAGTACTTCTTCTATATGCACAATTAATTTAAACATAGACCAGACAATACTCCTGTCATTTCCCTTGAACAACTGTTGTCAAAATGGGATGATCACCAATGGAACGAACCTGTTGGTTCTGTTGGTTTCCGTGGTGATTGTCCCAGTTTTACAACTTTTCAGATGATAATATTTGGATTAATCTCTCCATTGTATCACTGCAGAGCTGTTATGTACTGGTTCCAGGCCACCTATTGTTTACAGTATAGCAATAAGATAAGATACGAACGGTTGTCTAAGCAAACGACAAGAAATTTAAAGTAAAAGTAAATAAAATATGAGCAATATGCTAACAGGTCACTGCATGCTACAATTTTCTGTTTGTTTTAAAGGTAGTAACATATTGAAGAAGATTGGGCAATCGCAGTAAAAAAATACAGATCAAGGATGTTTTTAAAGGTAAATAGCATAAAACACAAGCTTGTTTCTTTCACGTAGAGTCTGGCTTGCTTAATTGGTGCCTTTATGCTAAATATGAGTGCTAGGCTGGCTTTCGGAGCTTATTACTGTCCTCGGAAAGGCAGGTGTAGCAGCTGCAGACGTGGAGACAGTTGAATTGCATCCTTTCCCAGGAAGATTGGGCACAGCAGCTACGAGCCAGTCAAACAAAATAAAGAAGGTAAAAAAACAACTGTGTTTAGTTGATTTCAAGAACTATAAAAACAAAACAAAAAAACGCACCTGCCAGAGGTTCTGGGGAGGTATTGAAACTGGCAGATGGTTCTCCATTTTAATCCCAAATCCTACAAAATTGTATAGTGCTCTGTGATGTATTGGGTTCACCAGTTTCTTTTGAAAACCTTCAAACTATTTATAAAAAAATGGCACAAACACTAAAATGAACAGGAAAACTCAACAGACTTTCAATTTATCCAGGTAAACTTTGCATCCCAATCTTTGTGAATATTATAAAAGAACATTGCATTAAAAAAGGACAATGCTGTGCCCACTCAAAGGGAAATTTTAGCTGATATTGTTTAGTGCCAACTGACTGCGGTCTTTACCCCATGATTCTGAAATTGAAACAATGCGTCCAGTATTGAGGAGCAACGCTTACGTAGCAAAGTCTGCTTGTACATATCTCATTCTTAACTTTTGGCCTAAAATTTAAAATTTGATTTGAATTCCCAACAATTCACACTTTAGTGACTAACCCCGTATAAATTATGGCTGGTGACGTTGCAAGAAGACATGTTTACCTACAGATCCTGTATTCTGCAGCCAATGTTCACTCATCAACATCAGTAAAAAAAAATTTCCATTCCAAAAACAAAAATCAGTAAACCACTCACTCTACTTTAGTTACATTAGAAGTTTTACATTACGCACACATAGTGTAGATTAAGAAAAAAACAATCTAGACTAAGCTATGCCAAAAAACTGCATCATCTCAGCCATGTTGCCTTTGAATAAATTCGCTACGCACAGTCCAAAGAAAAGTGTTTTGTTCCTTCTTGCTCAGAACTCCGGCCTTCTTTTTAATGACTGTAATATAGCTCACTGAGAATTCTGTGATTGGACAGCCACTTACATGCGCAGCTTCTCCGCAAGGATTGGGCACGTGCTGTGGAAGAAGGAGAGGGTTTGCAAACTAAGATTTAATTACCACAAACAAGAAAATGAAAATATATATATATATATATTTAATGCATATTTTTATTCGGGGTATATCAACTAAACTGGTCAATTTTAAATTATGGAGTGTTCCTTTAAAATGGAACAAAGAGTCTAAATGACATGAAATGAAAATGAAATGACAGGCGTGTTGAAGCTTGGATTCTAATATTGTATATGAATCAATTTATGGGGGTCAAGCCTCCCTACTTGTGAAATCAATATATTATTTAACTACCCCATTAAAATCTGGACAGAAAACGAAACCTATTCAACAAAAGAAAAAGAAAATAGAGCTGTCAGATCTTTAGATTGATTATTTACTCCTAATTAAGTTTGATCCGACTACCTACAGTTATTAAGAAAGGCATGATTTTTTATATATATATTTCAAGGTTGGAAGGGTGATTGTACCCACTACAGTGGTTTTGATGAGGTCAGAACAGCTGCTATGGTGAAACAAAAAAGTGCACTCATCCAGTGACCCATGAGAGCCCGTATTGTTGTAGGATTTGTGGATGATTTCCTGTGACAATGCCATGATGTAGCGGCAAAGCTAAGCTGTCTTTCAGGTGCAGGTTAGAATTCTGCAGGTTTCCCAATACATTCTAAAATGTAATTCACTAAACCGGAGCATCATTTTCATTAATCTCCAATATTAGTATCCTAGCTCTAGGTAGCGACGGTCTTATCCTGACATATCCTGTCATCTTCGTAGATCACACAGACAATGTGATGCATCGTACAGCTTGCAAAAACTGCTGAGCAGACATGTGAGCCCATCAAATGCTACTTATCATTATAATCTCATTAAGGAGGCTGTATTGAAATGATGCCAGTGGTTGCTACAAGCAGCCATTAAGAAAGTATTGTTTGGTTTTCTTTACAGCATACATAGTCATTCTCATAAAACAAACTTATGAGGCTGTTTACCTGCATTTTAAATTTTTTGTAAATGAAACACTAAAATATTTAATGTTTCTAAGGCTTGTGACTTGCTGTATATTTTTTTGCTTTACATGACAGGTGTAACATTATTGCCAAGCAGCCAGGTTACATAGTTACATAGTTACATAGCTGAAAAGAGACTTGCATCCATCGAGTTCAGCCTTCCTCACATTTGTTTTTTGCTGTTGATCCAGGTCTGGTCACTATTAGAGTCGTTTGTCTACCTTTCCAAAGCTTATGAGATTTTGCTATTAAAAAAGTAGCAGCTGGGGGGTGTGGCCTGGAGCTCGACCGACATGGACGCACGCATGTGAAGTTCCCGCCGACCAGGGCATAAAAAGCAAAAATAATCGGACTACAAAGCGATAAACAAGACACCCGCGGTCCCACGATATCGCACAGACACAAACAAAAAGCTGCCAAAGCAGAACGGGAATCCTTCTTCTTGGCAAGGTCAGCCGGAAAAAAAACGAGGGAAACTAACAGCCCTAAATAAAAATGGCGGCGGGAACCACTCCCGCGAGGGATCCCTCTCGCCAGCGGCATCAGTCAGCTCACTGGCAGAGGATCAACCTCTCACCACCACCTCCGTGACCTGGCAGACAACTTACAAACCACTATGAAAAACCAACCACAAGGCCTGGCAGTAGAACTGAGAAAAGACATAGCTGAAATAGGGCAGCGCACAACCCACATGGAACAGAGGCCGGATGAGTGCGCAGATGCCCACAACGGCCTCGCCGAAAAAGTGCAGGAATATGAAATTACCATGCACTCTCCCAAAACGAAAATAGCAGACCTCGAGGACCAGTCATGGAGAAACAATATCCGGATTAGAGGCATACCCGAAACGGTACTTCCAACAGGCCTCAACGACTACCTCCAAGACATGTTCCAGGCACTCACCCCGGCTATACACCCAGACCAGCTCGTTGTAGATAGGGTGCACCGCCTCAGACGACCACAACACCTCCCGGCAACGGCAGAGAGAGATGTCATAGCCCGCATCCATTTCTTCCACGCCAAAGAACTGATAGCGAGCAGAACAGCAGAAATGTCGGACCCGTATGGACATATAAAAATGTTTGCCGATCTATCAGCAGAAACCTTACAATACAGGAAGAACTTAGCACAGATCACCGCCACTCTCCGAGAAAAGAAGATCGCCGACAGATGGGGATACCCGGCTAAACTACTCATCCACTATGAAGGGAAGATGCACACAATATCCAACCTAGACACGGGACTCGCTAAACTCAATGACTGGGGCATCCAAGTCCGAGACGCTTAAAAAACCTGCAAAGGTCCCCAGGGTGTCAAGTGACTGGGCAACCAGCTGATAAATATCCACCTAATAATACTCCAAACGGAGACAGACCATTGGTATCCTCTTAGGCATACTGCTAGACAACTGAATCATCAGGAATGTAAGTTTATTCCATCAACTGTTTGCTGAATGTTCTTCCCTATGGTTATGGTTATATATATACCCTATGTTATTTGTAAAGTGCTTCAAATGTAAATAGTACTATGATGTAAAGAGGGGACACACAATGTGCTGAGTCAGACACATGCAGGTTAATACAAAGGACACAACATAACGCTAGGCCCAGCGAGTATACCCACCACCTCAGCATCATAACGCTTTACCCCACCTGGATGGTTATAGATGAGCTACCGGACTATTGCCGGTCTAATCCCTCCACCCCTCACTATATGTGACTGGGATTCCCCCGGCGCATCTAAACTCCCCATGGAGGAGTTTTCAAGGGCACGTGGCCCACTTGTTCGTTATTTCCCTCCCACTGTTTCCCCACCCTATGTTACCCCCTACCCCGGGGAATACCACAGCACCAAAATATACTATGCAACCCTCCACAATCTCCCCTACCCAGGGATCGAAACAGGGACCCCCCCTGAAAGGACAAGTGATAACAGCTCTAGAGACCAACTGAAGTACCACCATGAAAATAATCTCCCATAATGTTAAAGGTCTAAATACCCCAGGTAAAAGTAGGCTTCTACTTAAGGACCTCACCAAGCAGGGGGTAGATATTGCATGTATCCAGGAAACACACTTTCGTGTCCAATTCCATTCTCTTGCCAGTACGAAATCTAAAGGTGTGTCAATCAAAGAAACAGTTACAATCCAACAACAGTACATAGATTCGAGGGGTAGATACATTATCTTAGTGGGCCAATTTAATAACGCACAACTCACACTGATGGCCGCATATTTCCCTAACAAAGCGCAGGGGCAATACTTACAGATGTTACTTCACAAACTCGACAAAATCAAGCAAGGGGAAGTGATAATGTGCGTAGACTTTAACTGTATACAGTCACCCGTGCTGGACACCACAGCCAATCTTACAGGCAATAGCAGGAAGAAGTTGATCTCCACCAGGAAATCCTTCACTAAACTAATTGACCACTATGATTTCTATGACGCATTGAGGACCCTCCACCCGAGCGACAGAGACTACTTCTTCCACTCAAGGGCCCATAACACATACACGCGCATAGATACGTTCTTTTTAGATAGACATCTACTAGCACGACTGAATAGATGTACAGTAGGGGACATGACGTGGTCAGATCATGGTACAGTATACCTGGAAATACACGATGCGTACCAATTTAAAGGGAGGAGTACATGGCGACTAAATGATTCACTACTACTAAACGGCCCATTCGAACAAGAAATTAGAGATGCCCTACAGGCATACTTCACCACCAATGCGGGAGGGGAGGCTTCAGATGACATAGTATGGTCTGCACACAAAGCAGTAGTAAGAGGGCTATTCCTTAGAAAAGCCTCCTATCTGAAAAAACACCACCAAACCAACCTCCTTGATTGCCACAAGCAAATAGCCTTAGTCTCCAAACAAAACAAAAAACAACCTACACCAGTGCTAGCATCACAACTACAAAACTTACACACAAAACTGACCGAACTGAACGCAGAGAAAACAAAAACCTTACTATTTAAACTTAAAGCTAATGTCTACCACAATAGTGGCAAAGCTAGTAAACACCTAGCTAACAGACTCAGGGCCAAATACGCCAGCACCAAAATCGCACGTATCACAGTGGCGGACGACAACCAATACCAAACCCCCGCAGACATCAGCTGGGAATTTGCAAAATTCTACTCTGAACTATACAACCTCAAAGAGGCAGGCAACATACATATAGCAAAACATGATGAAATAGATGAATATTTGAGACGAACCAACCTCCCCCAGGTCTCCCAGGTCAAAATAGCAGACCTACTCAAACCAATAGACTTACAGGAACTCTTACAGGTGATAGAGGGACTGCCGGGGGGTAAATTGCCAGGAGCAGACGGCCTTACCAATGCTTACTACAAGATATTTGCAAATTAACTAACCCCACACCTACTACGGGTATACTACTCAGCTACGAACTCAGGGAAACTACCGCCAGAGATGCTATTGGCCACAATAATAACCCTAGCAAAGCCAGGTAAAGCCCCAGATAAATGCCAAAACTACCACCCCATATCACTCCTGAATACAGATACAAAAATATACGCAAAGATCCTAGCCAACAGAATTAGTGACATACTGCCAGACCTCATAGGAGACGACCAAACGGGGTTTGTGACAGGCAGACAGGGTTTAGACAATACACGGAAACTGACACTATTACTAGAGGGCCTACGGTAAAGTAGACAAGGAGGATTGCTCCTCGCGCTGGAAGCAGAAAAAGTGTTCGATCACCTTAGCTGGCTCTTTCTAGACCGAACCCTGAGAGCATACGGATTCCCCTCCCCGTGATACAACAAATATTCGCCCTATACTCGGCACCGACAGCACAGGTCCTCCAATCGGGTTTCAACTCAAACCCCTTCACAATATCCAACGGGACGAGGCAGGACTGCCCGCTATCCCCTCTCCTATATGTACTGGCCCTAGAGCACCTACTGTGAGCTATCAGAGCCCCCCCACATATACGAGGTATTAACGTAAAAGGTAATGAATACAAAATCAGCGCATTCGCAGATGATATACTTCTCTACATAACACAGCCCCTAGACACTCTACCACACATCATGCAGGAGATACAAACATATGGCCAACTATCCTATTACTCTCTTAATACCACGAAAACACAAGCCATGGGGATCAACCTACCAACAATACTAACCCAGAAGCTTAGCACTACATATAACTTTGAATGGAGGAGGACCATATCACATATCTGTGGCTCCACATCATCAGACAGGCTAAAGACCTGATATCAGGGAACTACATCAGAGTGTGGCATGAGTGTAAAACGACCCTTAAAACTTGGGGACTCTTCCTTACATGGACAGAATGAATAATAGCAATAAAAATGTCCTAAACTACAATATGTATTTAGGACACTGCCTATGAATGTTCCACTGACCTGCTTCAAGACTATACAGAGGGACATCAGCATGGCCAGATGTCCGGGCCTACTACCACGCCTCTGTACTAGCATCGGCACTACCTCACTTGCTGGACCAAACCCCCCTCCCAACGGGTGACCCTAGAAAAACATCTAATGGAACCATATGAGATCCCACACATACTGTGGCTACCCAAGCAATTTAGGCCACCATTAACGGATACCCCCACCCAAATAGCATTGCTTATGAGAGTGTGGGACATGCATAGAAGTAAATTAAGCTCAAACCCACATATCTCGCAAGCCACGCCGCTATGGGCACTAACCTACTGCATACCCACATTCCATGCAGCTCCATGGCAAGAAAAAGGCATCACAACCTTAGCCCAAATCCACACAAGAGGGAGACTTACAGACTTCGACACACTACAAAAGACACACAACATCCCACATACCTCACACTTTTCATATAGGCAACTATCATCCTTTCTCCACAAACAGGAATCCCAAAACCCACCGCAGACCAACCCAAGCGCACCTAGTTTTACACTCTGGGAAAATTTATGTATTCAACGTAAACTCCCAAAGTCCTGAAAACCACTGTCCACCTGCTACAAAATGCTATTGACGTACACACACCGCTATCTGATGCCACACAAGCGATACAGTGGGGAAAGGAGCTGGGAACGGACCTTACCAGACAACAGTGGGAGGACTTGGTAGATTCCCCTAGACAACTGGTTAAATCAGCTACGCTCATACAGCAACATATGAAGATGGTATATAGATGGTACCTAGTGCCAGCAAAGATACACAAGCTCTTCCAAGCCAGCACCCCAAACTGTTGGAGATGCACCACACAAACATGCACTACCCTACACATCTGGTGGAACTGCCCACTTATCCAGCCCTTTTGGAGGGCCATGCAGCAAGTGCTGAAGGAAATCACATACACTGAATCACAATATGACCCAGGCACATATCTTCTACTTAAGCTCCAACTCAACACACCCAAGTATACACAGAAAGTTGTCTACCACCTACTGCTCACAGCCCAACGAGTAATCGCAAGGGCATAGAAGTCCCGTCAAACCCCTTCCATAGAAGCAGTCCTTGCAGAAATAGACAACCAAAGAATTTATTAAAAACACTACCACATTGTATGCCCACCCAACGAAACGATGCTGGCAGCATGAGAGAGATGGGAAACATGGAGACGAAACCCCCCCAGAACACCACAACATTAGTTCGTCCCAACCCACGAGAGAAAAAATAATCACCTAGGAGAGACTATATAGGCAGGGAAGAGCTGAGACACAGAGTAGCCAGCAAAGGGCCGATAGACAGTTCAAGGGACAACGCATTTCCTTAACTTAACAACAAAGAGCTGCATAGTGATATGAATAGTGATATGAGTTGTATATGAATCCTGTGAACTGGAACACTAATTACATGTACTTGATAAATGCTGTACCTCCATCTCCGTCTCCCCCCGTCCTTTCTGTACCCCCCCTCACCCTCCACCACCCACTGTTGAAGTTATATGAAGTAATAAAAACAATTTAAAAAAAAGTAGAAGCTGGGGGGGAAGGACCGCCATGCGGAATGGTTGCACAGACCATCAGCTATGGCAAATACTAGGCATTTATGCAGAAATTAAGAGATTAACCTGCCTTAACACAGCCTGGAAAAAGCAGTCCAGCGTGCACTGAGGTGATGAATCGGAAGTTACATCTTCTTCGCATTTTTTGCCCCTTAAAGGGTGCAATAACTTTGTCATAGTTGAGGCCTACTTGGGTGGTGAGTGGAGTGGACGGCCGCTGCCCCGCTAACCTGCCCAGTGGCTTCAAGCCAAAACATTGGTGCAACGTGGTACTGGCCTCATTCTCACCCTCCCCCCTTTGGATCAGTGGGGGTCATCCTGGTCCTCGCCTCGGTGGCCCTTATGCAACTATTGACCTGGTTTGTTGAGTAGAAGGGGACCCCTCTCCCTAAAATAGCAGAGCCTCATGTCACGCTGACAGCAAAGGAGACCGGGCTGGGAAGCCTTGCACCCTCGCTCAGACCCTCGATGACATCTAGCACAACCTAACCTGCTACCTACAACTCCCGACTGGGCAAGAAAATCAAGACCAACCTCTACAGTATTCACCTGAAAATGCGACAACTTCTACAGATGGAGGGGCCCGCGATCAACAGAGAAAACAGAGCAGGTGGAAGGCACCACAGAAGCTACAGCAAGCCTGAAGGCCATGGTCCGTGCTGCTCTGCTCGGGCAATAGCCCAGAAAAGTCTCACACAGAAGGAAAGACCCCTGCAGGCTACACAAGGCCATGACCACATAACCTGTCTACAAGATATGCCGACACGAGTGTTCAGGTGCATACGGGCAGCCAGTCCACGACCGGACTGTCCAGTGGCATTGGAGGGAATCGGTTGCAGTGAGACTCTTGATACTGCTGGTGTTTGTGCCCTCACAGTTTGCATTTTTATTCCTCATGTACATTCTTCATATGATTTATCTTTCTTTCATCAGTCCGTATTTCAATACAGTCTACCTTTTGTTATTGCTGTGGGGTTACCCTTACCTCGAGAATCAGCGCTGGGGTCCCTGGAGCGGAATTACAACATGCTGAGTAGATCTAAGTTATTAGCCCAATAAGTTTTAAATGCTTAAATATAATCTTTAACGTTCCTGTAACTACTCAAATAAGCTAATTCCTCAGCATCTTACTTTTGTCTATATCTCTTGTTCTAATTTACAAAAATTGTGCTGTTGCAATGTGTACACATTTACTAACGGTACTATCTACTAATTGTGATAACTTCAATATGTCTATGTCGTTCTTATGGATATAAACATACACAACAAAAATAAAGAATTATAAAAAATTAAAAAAGAAGCAGTTGTCTTCTAGCCAAAAAATAAATAGTGCTTTAACATGTCACAAAAAAATAAAAGATATAAAAGAATGAAATAAAAATACAGATGAACAGATACATAATTTGGATAGTGAAAAAATGGGAATTGGGGGCACACCCAGAACATGCATTTCTAAGCAGTGGTGCTGTTGTAAAGACCAAAACATTTACAAAGGAACAGCGCACACAAACAAAAATACAGTTTTACATTTGACAAGGCTGCCTAAAATCACCCATCCCAGCAAACAAACATGGGGACTCAGTTCCACCATATGGCCACACCATGCCCATCACCTTACAATTCCCTCAATATCGGTGGGTCCTACACTAAATTTCACATGGGAGATTTACATGCTAACTTGCAAAACTTACTTGCAGTTTAAACTGCTTCAAGGCACTCCTCAATTTATGCTTTCCTGTGGTCACCTCCAAAGGGGTACCCATAGTGGATGGGTGGGCTGCTCAGCCCAATAGGAATCTGGTCTAGATTCCAAATCTACACAGGAGAAATAGGAATTTGGATATTGTCAGTAAATGACTCGCATGTTAGTTTATATTGTTTCAATATAAAGTCATTTTCAGTGGCATTGGAGGCCTGTAACTTGAGGCTTGAACACCAAAAACCAAGTTCACTCAGGTCTCCTACCAATATTTACCTTTCTAACTAATTGTTATTTAAAAGACGACTACAGGCACCGAGGCCACTTCATCTCAATGTAAATCACTGCCATTTTATATATATATGGCACTACTTTCATTGTTGGACTTAACACACCTCTAATGGGCGTCTTCCTGACAGCTAATAGAGACACTACCACTGTGAGAATGGCGTGACACGGCTCTCACGCGTCACCTCCTCTGGCGCTGTTCATAGAAAGCATTCAGTTAGAGGAGCCCGGCCCTCACCACGGAGTGAGAAGTGTTGCAGACATGAAGATGAGACAACATGACGTTGAGGCAGGCACATTGGGTGGCTGTGATGGCCATGTCTTGGTGCTCAGAGGTCATGGTAATAGATCTTATTCCCCCATCCCCCCCCAAAAAAAATATTCATTTGGGGATCATATGT